GCAACTTCAAGTTTGCTGTTCATTAACATTTCTTTGGGATGGGCTATCTTCAAATCTGCTGGGGCTGTTCATTAACATTTCTTTGGGATGGGCTATCTTCAAATCTGTTGGGGGCTGTTTCCTGGACTTCATTAACTTTCAGAGAGTTGCTCAACTTTTCCAGAAATTCATTCTCAACGTGGCCTCCATTTTAGATTTCACTCGATATTAGACCCGATTTACCTAACTACACTGACTGCCTAATTTTAAATCTGGCTTCAATACCACCTTTGCGCCAATCAATATGGCACCTTCATGATCAAGAGTGACAGCATAGCTGGATGTGGTGGCACACACCTGTAATCCCAGTGAGTCAGGAGCGGGAGGCAGGAAGATCACAAGTTTGAGGCCAGCCTTGGCAATTTAGTAAGATCTTGTCTCAAAATAAAATTTTAAAAAGGGCTGGGGATGGAGCTCTGTGCTAGAGCACCTCTGGATTCAATCCCAATCCCAGGAATGGGAGGAGGTGAGAACATGACTAAGAACTCTTTACCACTTGCTAAATAATCGTCCCCTCCAGTCTGTCACAAGCATACAGATTCCTAAAAAACGTTCAGCTAGAAGGAACAAGAGCCCGCCTCAAGGTCTTGTACTTGTTGGGAGGTTCAGGGTCACACTGCTAATTAGAGCCAGTGTGTGGACCCAGCTCCCCTCCCTGGGGGACACACCAGAGGTATGTTACTTGACGTCTCTATGGGCCCCCCCCCATCTGGAAAGGGGAATACACTGAGCTATTACCAATTAATAACATTAATTTATGACCAATTATTAATATTTTAACATAACTATTTTAACAAATGTTTTAAGCAACCATCTGACACATGTCTAGGAAATAAATACATTTTAATGGGAGTGAAAATACAGCAAATTCAAAGGGGGAGTAAGTAGACTGAACAGCCTCAAATTCAAAACTCTGCTTCCTAGCTATGCCCAGGGCTCCTCCTCTAAAATCAGTTTCCTCCTATTAAAAAAAAAAATGTTGGTTTTTAATCTAAGATCAGGTATGCTAGGTACGCAGAGGAAAATTCCAGAGCTGTGCACCACCAACCAAGTCAATCTCCACACAGTAGGCAGCGGGAGGAAGGGGGGAGCTACCATAGAGATTTCTGCTTTCCCATCTGGAGGAAGTGTTTTCTTTCAGATATAGTGAAAAAGGATCAGTTTTATTTGATTACAGAAAAGGGCTTCATGATTATACAAAACAGTTAAAATCAGACTTTTAAAATGACTGTGTTTTGAGCTACTGTGGAAAAAAAATAGTGAGGAGAGACAGAAAAATAGAAAAACAAAACAACGATCACCATGAAAAACTCCAAAACTCTCCTCCTCCAGAGGCCAGAATTAAAGTCACAGAAACAGGAAGGAGATTCCAAATTCCCTGGGCTATGGATCTTTTATTTATTTTCCTATCACATACGAACACCAAATTGAACCTTTAGGGTCTGGATGCTATTGGGAGGCCCAGCAGGAGTCCAGACATAAAAGAACCCCCCACTCCCAAAGAGCCCTGGGGCTTCCCAGCCTTGCATGTCTCCCTTCATTCCACACTGGGAAGAACTACAGTAACTAAGCAACCCAGAGATTGGTCCCTTTCACGCCACATTAATGTTTTGCACTACAAACCCTACATGGTGCTACAGGACACAGAATACAGACTGGACAGGACTGAGTTTTGGATTCTCCTCTCTCCAGCGCTATGGACTGCAGTCCCAGCCCCACTAGCTATGGGGGCCAGCCTCTGTGCCCTGTCTCCCCCAGATTCAAGGAGGCAGGAAGCAGTCCCAGAACTGGCTTCCTGTCTGGGCACTGGGGAAATCTGGTGAGGATGGTTCAAAAGTCTCCGGCAGGGAGGAGAGCAGCACTAAAAGACAGTGAGGGACACATGGGACTGGAACTCCTAACAGGATTAGTTCTGCTGTCCCTTGGCCACAGCTGGGTGCTTCCATTGCCCAAAGAGACTTAGGCAGAGATCAGACTGCTCCCCAGTCATGGTCACAATGAATCCCTAAAAATTTGGCATCTTGATTCTTATTTTTTAGGCCAGTAGATATAACCCTGCCAGAAGGGCCCTTCGTGATGCAGCATATTTCACATAAATTTTCCACTTTTCTCCATACCCATAAGGCATTAAGGGAACTGGAGGATTGTAGGGGAAAAATCAGCTCAAAGTCAAGGGGACAAACTGGGTCTCTTTGTATGGACAACTTTCTCACCTCCCTTACTTTATCTTCAGTCAACCTCTAATCACAAGGCACCAGCTAGCACTGATTTATGAAGCCTTCATGGCACAAGCAGCCAGGCTCCAAAGGGCAACGAAGTCTGGAAGTGGCCCAAGAAGTCTGACACATGGGCCCCTTTGGACCTTGAGGTCAGAGACCTCTATGAATGGGCTTCCAGAGACTTATTGCCCATGAAAGCAAGCAAAAACCCTCCACATTGAACCAACAAATCCCCAAGCCATCTCTCTAGACCAAGGGCAAAATGAGAAAGGAAAACAAACTTTGTTTTGCATTTAGGAAGGACACATTTTAAGGTTCTGATAAGATCCAGATCAGGTTAGGAGGGAAAAGCAACCTGCAGAATACCTCAACAAGACCTTGAAAATGACCCTCTGAGCCTCCATGTCTCACTGCCAGGGAAAAGAGAGAGGAGTTGAGATAAATGGTAGACAATGACAATGACTGCATCTCTTCTTAGTCAATACAATTCAACTGATGGTGATGCATATTCATCAACTAGATTCAGTCATTAATATGGTAGCCCCCTTATCCTTGAGGAATACACTCTGGAGACATCAAATTGACATCTGGACCCACCAACAGGATCAAACTCTACATACTGTACTATGTTTTTCCTATGTGCCCTGCAGGGTTGTCACATAGTACCAGCGTTAATCTGCCCTTCCATGTTTTATGCCCCAGTGCTTCCTTTTCATGGCGATTCTTATGTTTTGGGACTATTAAGTAACATGAGGGTTATGTGACACAGCACTGCAGTGCCGTGACAGTCAATGTGATAGCTGAGATGGCTAAACGACTCATGGATGGATAGCATGCACAGTGTGGATATGCCAGACCGAGGGATGATTCCCGCCCCCAGCAGGATGGAGCAAGACAGAGCAAGACTTTAAGACATTATGCAGAAACATGTGCAATTTAAAACTTATGGATTTTTAAATTTCTGCAAGTTTTCATTTATGATTTTGGACCATGGTTGACGTCAGATAACTAAAACCATATATAAAGGGGACGAACTACTGTACTAAAACAGGCCACTCTAAAATTTCTATGTTTAACTGTAGAATTCATCACTGCATTATCTTAAAAGGATCTTGGACTTTTTATTTTATTTTATTTTTAAATTTCTTTTGTACCCAGGGGTGATTAACCACTGAGTCACATTCCCAGCCATTTTTATTTTTTATTTTGAGACAGGGTTTTGCTAAGTTGCTGAGGCTGGCTTTGAACTTGCCTTAAAGGTCTTCCAATAAGTCTCTGGAAGCCCATTCATAGAGGTCTCTGACCTCAAGGTCGAAAGGGGCCCATGTGTCAGACTTCTTGGGCCACTTCCAGACTTTGTTGCCCTTTGGAGCCTGGCTGCCTGTCACCATGAAGGCTTCATAAATCAGTGCTAGCTGGTGCCTTAAAGTGTATTCCTGAGTCACTGGGATTACAGGTGGGCACCACCATGCCTGACAGGGTTGGACTTTTGTAAAAGAAAAAAAAAAAAAAAAACTGAGTTATTGGAGTAAATAAAGATCAAAGGTAACTGGGGGTACTGTGGGAGACAATCTCTGAAACAAGGAATGGAGTGATTTTTTACAGGGTCGCTGGGACTTACACTCTGCATAATCCTAGGTTACATTTTTTAATGCCATTCAAGTCAAATCCTAGGGTGTGAATAGCACCCTTAATGCTCAGCAAAGCACAACCTATACAGAAATACATGATATCTCCAGGAGAGAACAGGCCCACTGCTTATTAAACTGACCAGATTCTGGTTTGGTGGCCCTGATGGCTCAGGATTACACACTTGCTGCAGTAAAAACAGTTCTGACATTACTCAGTGTAAGATGGGGAAAAAATAATATCCACCTCCATTTACAACCCACTTCATATTAACTGCCCTGCGTGGTCAGGTGGTACCATTGGTGCTTTCTCTTTTCCCATCTTTACCTCTGGTCTAAATGAGAGGAAATGCCAGAACTCTGGGGAAGGTATAGGTACAAAGAAAAGCAACAGGCCTCAATGGTTTGAAATCTGGATGATGCCCTTTAAATAATGAAGACAGAAAATGGCTCCTGGGGTGGGGGAAGCCTACATCCTAATTCACGCCATGAAATTTCCTAAAAAATAACAATACACACTATCATAAATCCAAGAGTGACAGATCACACTTCACTCTTCTGTAGCAGGTACCAGATTTAATTACAATTCAAACACAAGATAAAGCAAACATACACAGCCAAAAAATGTGGGGAGGGCCGAGGGAAAAAGTGAAAAATATCTTTTCTTTCTGCTCAAAAGGGAAACTTTGTTTAGAAGGGCTGAAAGGGCTGACTATTTAGAAGCACTGTCTGTTGGCCCCACTGGAAAGTAACATCTTACTGCTCATCTCAGATTAGCCACCGAACAAGAGGATGGCTGTTTGAAAGGGAAGAACAGCTCATAAAACCTCAGGGAGGCTTCAGTCCTCCACAGGAGGTAAACAGTTCCTCATCTACCATTCCAAAATCCAAAAAAGCTCTGAAATAAAGGGGTGTGTGTGGAAAGACTGTAGACCTGTAATAGGAGGACACAAGACCCTTGTGCCAAAGAAAATCAATTCCTCTCTGGTTGTTTTAGGCATTACTATGAGCTTTCTACATAAGCCAGACTGCAGCATGATTCCACAACACTGCGTTAGGAATGGGAAATCTATTACACAGGGTCATGACTACATGTTAAATCACAGTTTCCTACCTTCACATATTCCAGAGTTGGGTCCAGAAGATGTGGATCCCTGAAAAGAAAAAAAAAACAAATGAGAACAATTAGGAACAACATGTTCTTATAGGGAGTAAAGTGTGTCTAACATTATTTCACCCTATTCATGTAAGTTAAAGCTGAGCATCCACCTCTCAGACAGTAAGACAGACAGGTACGGAAGTCAGAACACAGGCAGATTCCTTTCATGAGAGAGGGTGGGCTACCGTGACCTCATATTTTCCTGTCCAGTTTGGGCTTCAGAACGTTAGACTATTTGTATGTGACAATTCTAGGTTCACTCAAGCATAAAAAATAGTCTCAAAGTTGGAAGCAAAGAGCTCCAGGGAAGGACAGAGGTGAGCGTAGGGTGGGACTGGGTATTAGAACATGCAGCATCTTTGAATACTTGGTTAAACCCCTATGCTCCCCACCAGGCAGCTATGCTGTGCCCACTTTGACGTTAAGGAAATGGAGGCTCAGGCAGGTGGGGCAGCTGCCCAAGGTTGCCCAGCACCTGGGTGAGTCTCCTCCCAGGTCTGCCTCTCAACCACATCCTTCTCTTCTTGTCACTGGCTGCTACCTACTCACTATCGATGTAAACCTGGCTGATGCACACTAATTTTCTCTGGTGCCTCAGTGTTATCCCCCATGTAATGTCTACTCTTATGTCCACTGTAATAATACGCTAGGATCAGCGAGACAATCAGAAGTAAATAGCAGCAGGTGGCTCGAGAGGGTGAATTATTATAGAAAGTGGAAAGGTCGAAAGGTATGACTAAGGCAGCAGGAAGAGGGAGACAAGAGAGCAAATGTTTGCAGTGCTGGCAGGGTTACAGTGCAGTGTCCCCCACAGTAGGAAAGACAGCCACCTTCAGAGACTTCAGAAAATCAGCCTGTCCCCACAGATCATTTAAAAAGGACAGAGTAGCTCTAACGCCTAGTCTCTCCTCTGAAGGGGAAGGAAGGTATCTTAGCATAGTGACACAAAGACCACATCCCTTGGAAGACAGGGGATCCCCACTGACAAACAGCTCCCTGAGCAAAGCTGAGTTCAGCCCTGAACTTCTCTGGCTGTAGCTAGGCTGCAGTGCTCCTTTTCTGAGCATGGCCACTGCCCCAGGTACAAAGGGTCTTGGTCTTGTGGTGGAAAATAGGTGCAATCCCAGCTCTCCTCACATGATTTGATTGTTCATTTGGGACAACGCACAGCAGCACAGCAGCACAGCACGCATGCGCAGAGGCCAGCTCATCTGCGATGCGCCTTTGCATGCAAATAGATTAGGTTCTGAAATTCGTTCCTTTATTGGGCCAAAGAGTCAGAGAAGGGCTTAAGCTCACAAACCCTGGTTGCATTCTTATCAAAGAGGGATATGAATCAGCCTTTCAAAGCCTTCACTGGAGGTGTACTCTGCCTTCAAGCTGGTATTCACCAGGCACCTGTCCACTGGGACACGGCACCCTGCTTTATGGGGCTCTGTGATGTCAGTGCTGTGCAGTGCTGCATTCTGGAGAGAGTGCTAATGTCATCAGGCTGTGGTTTCACTGAACTACCCTGCTAGTCACTAAAACTCTGTCCGCACCATTTTGACTGTGCTTCCCCTTGGAGTTCTTGGAAACTTGATTCTTTAGTGAATTAACATATTAGGATTACAGACCTAAATTTTCTGGCCCTGGTAGTACAGAAAAATGTTGGAACCACTGAAATGTTGTTTTCATCTTCATATTTTGATTTTTATGTATACTTAAAATGTACTTTACATACTAATATATGTGCCTTCCTACATAGGTTAAAAGTATTGGTGTGTACTGTCTAAATTGATGGTTCTCAAATTTTTTGATCTTAGGATCTCTTTAACACTCAAAGAACCTTTGTTTATGTGGGTCCTATCTATTGATTATTGACATTAGAAATTATACTGAGAAATTTCAAAATATTTACCAACTCAATTTTTTTTTTTTGCAGGGGATGCCAGGGATTGAACTCAGGGGCACTCAACCACTAAACCACATCCCCAGACCTATTTTGTGTTTTATTAGAGTCAGGGTCTCACTGAGTTGCTTTAGTGCCTCACTAAATTGCTGAGCAAATTTAACTTGTGATCCTCCTGCCTCCAGTTCCTGAGCTACTGGGATTGTGTCAGGGACTAGAAGGAAATTCTCCTTCAAAGATTAGCCTGACAGCCCCCTGGGAGACATCCTGCCTGGGAGGCATCCTGCAGCTACCTATCTCCCTGGAACATCCTGCGGTTATCAGGATCATCAGACATCTTGCACCTGGCAGTTTTACCACCCACATCCAGCAGTTGTTGATTAGAGAGCTTCCCCATCCCCAGCATATAAATACCCCTGTGTGAACAATAAAAGTTTGCAGCTTGATCAGAATTTTTGTCTTGCTGTCACCTTTCGTGTCTCTTGTCCCTTCAGTGTCTCTTGTCCCTTCATTCCTCCCCATCTAGGTTCGCTGCCCACGTTGATGTGTCCTGCAGGATTATAGGTGTGAGCCGCTGCACCCAGTCTATCAACTCAGTTTTAAAAAATAACCCATTATATGTTTACATAAAACTATTTTAAAATAAAAAAATTTTCATAACAAAAATGTACTGAGAAAAGTGAAATTATTTTTCATTTTTGCAAATCTTTTTCATTTCTGGCTTAGTAGAAGACAGCCAAATTTTCATGCCTACTGCATTCAATCTGTTATATGATATGTGCTGGCTGAAATAAAGGAAGAAAATTCATCCTTATACAGATGTCATTGGAAAAGGGAGGTATATTTTAATATGCTTTCCGGTAGTTATGGCTATTCTGCTTTGATATCATAACAAAAAACAAGTGATAGTTTTCTAAAGGTTAATTGTAATATGGCCTGAAACCATATTAGCTATTATATCTATCTTGCACTTTGAGTGCCTTTATTTATGTGTGATTCTGTAATCAGAACTCTGGAAAACACTGCTTTACTGAGTTATGCAGATCTCCCAATTTTTGACCCATTTCAATTATAAAACACACACACACACACACACAATATCACATTTGTTAATATCACCACTGATCTCATAAGAGAAATTATTATTAGGGACCACCAAGTTAATGGTAGAGAGTGTAAGTTTTCCAAAATTCTAATTTTCATTGGAAGACCTGAATTTTTATCATTGACCACTAACATTGTTAAGTATTTTCCTTGAATTTCATTTCATTCATTTTTGGGAAAACACTAGTCAAATATGATGACTACTAGTCATGACTTATGATTTCAACTTTTTTTAGGCCTCTTACATGTCATTATTTTAGTAACTTTATTTATGTTCAGGTTCTTTGTTCTTCCTATAAGATTTGGTTGTGCCTTTTCCTTTTGAAAGCTGAAGTTTCCTTCTGTTTTTTTTTTTTTTTTTTCCTGTACATGCACATGAAAACTCACTGCATCTATAAGTTAGTTCTCAGTCTAACCCTCAAACTCTCTTGGGAAGGGGTACATATCCAGTACTGGCTGGGCTGGGCTGGGCTGGGCTGAGCACAGTGTCCAGGCAGCTCCTGAGGTGGCGATGGCTATAGTGAGCAGAGTGCCCACTCAGAGAACGAATCCCCTCTTTATCTTGTTACAGTAAATTTGAAAAGGATATTTAAGACTTTAGATTTAATAAAATTAAAATTGTTAAAAATTCTTTAAAAATCTAAATTTAAAAGAAATTTATTTTTACTTTAAAAATTTTTTATTTTATTTATTCTAATTTGTTATATGACAGCAGAATGCAATTCAACTCATATTATGCAAATAGAGCACAATTTTTCATGTCTCTGGTTGTACACAAGGTAGAGTTACACCATTCATGTTTTCATACATGTACTTAGGGTAATGATGTCTATCTCATTCCTCTGTTTTTCTTACCCCTAAGCCCCCTTCCTTCCTCCTCCATTCCCTTTGCCCTATCTAAAGTTCGTCCTCCCATACTGCCCCCCATCCCCATTATGAATCAGTATACTTATATCAGAGAAAACATTTGGCATTTGGTTTTTTGGGATTGGCTTATTTAAAAGAAAATTAATTTTTTAACCTATTCACCAGATATTCTTAAATGAAACTAATTCTTCTGGGGCAGGCAGTAATGGGGAACAAACCCAGGACTTGGCCCATACTAGTAAGCACTCTACCATGAACATATCCCCCATCCTAATTTTTTTTTTTTTAACTCTGGGAGCACAGAGGGTGAGGATACAATGACTACTGGCACAATTTGGTGGCATTCTTACTTTCTACTGAGGTTCCAACATTTTTATTCAGCATTGCTTTTATACCATCACTGAAAATGTCAACCCAGTGAAAAAGGCAAATAACATCTTATTATCGTTATAAGTTAAGTTACATCTTACAGATCCCCTAACAGGGTCTCATTTCACGTCATGGATCACACTTGGAGAATCACCACTCTAAATGCTTCAGCTGCAGGCTCAAATTTTTTTTTACCCTGAGATGTGCAGCATGGATATCAAAAGCTCAGGTCACCTGCAACCAAACAAGAAAACCAAAAAACTTCTGCACAACAAAAGCAACAATGAAGTAGAACAGCAGCCTACGGGCTTGGGAAAATATTTGCAAATCACATTATCTGATAAAGGGTTAATAATCAAAATATATAAAGAAGTCACACAACTCAATAGTAGAAAAGCAAATGATCTAATTTAAAAACAGGCAAAATGTCTGAATAGACATTTCTCCAAAGAAAACATCAAAATGGCCAATGGGTCTATGAAAAGTGCTCCACATCCTGAATCATCAGGGAAGTGCCAATCAAAACTACTATGAAACACTGCCCCACACCCGACAGGATAGCTGTTATTGAAAAGTCAAAAGATAACAAATATTGGCAAAGGGTGTACACTGTCGGTGGGAATGTAGATTGGTACAGTCGTTATGGAAAACAATATGGAGGTTTCCAAAGAAATTAAAAATAGGACCCAGTGATCCCTCCTCTGGGTATATGCCCAAAGAAAAAGAAATCACCACCTCATAAAAGCTATCTGAAACTTCCCTGT